CAGCAGGTGTAAACTTATATCTGTTAAATAATTGTGTGGATCAAAAGTGGAAAGGAGGGAAACATTTCTTGGATACTTCCTAGTTAGAAACATCTATTACTACATGGAAACATCTAGTTTCAGCCCAAGATATTCTAATGAGCAACTGAGGTACCATTCTCATCTTCTCACTCATTTAATAGCATCTCAGATAGGAATTAAATCCCTAAACCCTAAAAGGAAAGGAGATTCAGTCTCATGCAAAGTTTTAAGAGAGGTAACTAACTCCTTAGTACACTCTACCTAACAACTAGTCTGGAATTAAGTTCAGCAGCCATTAAACCTTTATGGCTAAATAAAGCCCTCTGTGATCACAAATCTCTTCCCCTTCAGTGTACTTGGACTGGGAGGTAATTTGATTCTAATCTTTTCTTGAATATACTTCACTGACTAAGCTTCAGCCTGCACAGTAGCAACAGCCTTATCCATGGTTTATCTTTCTGGCACCATTCTTCTGAACTGTTTCTAGGTTAGCAAAGTAATTTCTGAACTGTCAAAAAACCCACATACAAGGTCACAATAACTATAGTAGTGATACCACATGCCACTCAGTACCTCTAGCTGATTTGTCCCTTTCTATATACCAACACACCTTATTTTGCTGTATTATGGCATGGACTCATGTTACTTGATTATCCACCATCTACCCCCCCTTCAGTGCTCTTCAATATCACTGTGGCCAAAATGCATTTCATTACTCAGGTGATCAGCATTTCTAAAAAAAATTACTTGCCTTTAACTACAGGAAGGTTTGCCAGAATCCATCTCATCATCCAGCACAATACTGCTTACTTCCCTTGTCCATCATCTTTAAGCACTACCACACCCATTTTACATTTTCTTGTACATCACAGTATTTGTATCCACTGGATTCTGTTGACTGCACCAGAAAGAAACAACTCTTCCCAGTCCATTCCTTGTAGCCTCTCTTGTCGCCTCCAGGCACCTTCCAGAGTGCTCAAACTGCACTGTATCTGGCTCAGCTCTTCTCCAGGCCCTATGTGGTACCTCAGTGGCCCTTACACAGCACAGAGGTGGGGGATTTCTTTTCCATTCAAAGTACCCAAAGTAAGAAAAGGCTGTGTCAGAGCCTACCAGGCATTTATTGTTGACTGTTTTGGTACAGTAAAATGAAAGACCATAGAAATGTCTTGTAAAAATAATCTTCCTCCTGTTATTCAGCTGCATTAAGGAAAAATTTGATGGCAAACTACAAGATTATAAAACACAGCTAAAAGCTAAGTATACATCACTCTCATGCAACAGCTACACACATTGTTTAAGAAATGCAGCTTTTCACTTGCTGTACACCAAGAATATAAATTACAGCAACACTGCTTTTCTTAAGTAGTGAAGACTTCAGTATAGAGAGCACTAAGAGAGAGGAAAACATCAAATCATCTCAGTCATTAGTGTTACAAGTAAGAACACACAACTTGGGAAAGCAGGTTGCATTCTGGGTAAATACTTGGTTTGCATGAATTTCGGAACAGGATTTTCAAAACATTTGTTTTGCTTGACTTGTTTTATCTTTAGGGGTAAAGTTTGGTATAAACACTCTCTCAGGTCCTAGGGTGTTTATATATTAATGAGGTGTCTCATTCAGTTTGACTCGATCCCACAAAATACGTCATCACAAATACAAAAGAAAAGCCCTTCCAAGCGTTAATTATAAATACAAGTCTTGAATTACACTCAACCACAAGCAACGGAACTCCAGTTTTGAAGTTAATTGTGAAACCTGACAACAAATGTACCAAGACACCTATGCGATCACCATCATGACAAATATGTAAAGAACACACAATCCAATAATGCAAGAAAATACCACATCCCCTGAATTTATGGCCACACAGAGCTTACCTTTCCTAGTGCTCTTAAAAAAAAAGTGAATTCTGTTTCCCAGTATAGACCAACCAACATTGCACAGCGGAGGTTTGTTCCACACCGATCCTTGTATTTCACATCAGCTGGAAATGCCTATTCTCTAGTGTGAAATAGTTTCACCAGCATTAGCACTTATGCTTAGGAAAGTATAAAAATTAAATCTACGACACGTTTCCAAATCAAGACATTGTAATAAAGAATGTTGACAACGTACACGTGATAAATATGAATGCAAGGTTCAAATGTAAACTCGTTAGATGCGTACCTGCACGCTGACTGCTACAACTGGAGACCCTGAGGCAGAAGATGGTCTGTGTGGAGTTGACAATTGTTTAGTAGCACCCTGTGTTCCACTTCCTGCTCCCCCAGACAGACTAGTCCTACTAGCTCCACTTGAGTTAAGGTTACTGCCTCTGCTGGCAGGTACATTCATTCCAACTCCACCCAAATTATTTTTACCAACAGTTCCAGAAGGAGTAGAGTTGGGCAATTTTGAAGAAGCCTGAGGGTTCTTTGCAGGCTGAAGGCCTGAGGTGCGATTAGAGGACAGCAAATTCACTGTGGGAGACTGCCTGCTGATATTTACACCACTGGTCTGTTTATGAAGGGGGTTGTTGCTGGAGTGGCTACTCTGGGAAACTAGTGCACTTGAACTGGAAGAACTGGGTGTTGTTGCAGGCCTGGGGGATGAGGTGGACTTGGATGAAAATTTAGGCGATGCGTTGGGCTTGGGTGTCACAGAGGGCTTAGATGAAGTAGGCTTGGGAGAGGCAGCAGGTTTGGGAGAGGCAGCCATGGAGAAGGGAGGCTTGAAACCCTGGGAAGAAACTTGTGACACCATAGCCTTGGCTAAATAGTTACTAGAGGTAGAGGTGCTGGATGATGTCCGAGAAACCAGTGGGTGAGACACTTGAGAGCCACTTCCAGATGAGGGATTAGACAAAGGCAGGCGATATACTACAGACTTATCTTGAGCCTTGATGACGGGTGATGAGCAAGACAGTTTGGGATTACTACTCAATTTCACCACTGGATTGGTCTGTGATTTACTAATAGTTGCTTGTAAAGGAGATACATATTTCTGCTGTACAGCTGAATGCTGGTGCACCTTTGTCACTTGTGATGTTGAGGAAGAGCCACCTTGAGCCTCAGAAGATGATACCAAGATATTAGCATCCTTGGTTCTTTGAGAGGAGGTGGAAATAGCTGCTTGGGTCTTAGAGGAAGAAACATGAGTCTGAGAAGAGGAGGAAGCAGCTTGGATCTGACTTGACCTCTGTAGTCCTTGCTGAAGTAGTTTGGCTGGCAAAGGCTCTAAGGAAACTTTAGGATTTTGAATTGAAGATCCAGCAATAAGGCCTGAAGAGATACCAGTGTGAACTAGGTCCTGGGGTTTCTTTGGTACTGGCCCTGTGTGACCAGCAATAAGACTTGATGAATGGGGTGTTTGAGTGGGCTCTACTTTCTTTGAAGTTGCCAGAGGCAACTTACTCATAATGCTTGCTAATTTCTCTTCCCTCAGCCCAGGGCGAGGTCTGGATGTTGTTGTGTCTATGGTGGACCCAAGAGGTGATCCCTTGGCACCATTATTTATAACTGCCAAAGCATCAGAAATCGAGTCCAGTGAGGGTGGGTGGAAAGAGAGGTCTTCATCCAGTGAGTCATCCAAGCAGATCGTCTCTGGAGCTGGGGTGCAGCTAGAGCTGGCTACAGTGCAGACAGGTGCACTGGAATTCAGTACAGCAGCACAACTTGAATTGCCTGAAGACATACAGGGTTTCTGTTCTTTCTTTGGACTAGAGTCCTGAGAATGACAAAGTAAGAAAAGTTAGGTTTAATAGGCTTTCTGGAATAGATTTAAAGTCTCCTTTAGTGTAATACTATTATTCTGCAAGTTCAGTTAAACCATAAAATATATGCCACCTGTGAGAGATTGAGATTTTCATACTTAGATACCTTTGATACTTAGGTGCTGGAGTCCTGCATGCTAATTCAATAGTTGCATTAAAAAAAACTAGTGCTGTTTCAACATAACTAAAAGTGCCCCCCACAGTGACAAATAATCAGTGCTGTCAAGGGCAGGGTAGCTCATCTGATCGCTAAATAAAACTGCTACTGGATTAAGATAACACCTCATCATGTCTAATGAGAGCCTCCATCAACTTCCTATGGTATCCTCCCAACCACACATTTTTGCAGTGTTGTCAGACTTAAAACAAACTGAAAACAAACCAAAGCACACATTAAAAGATGTCAAACTTCACTGGGACTAGTACCTCTTCATAGTCACTTCTCAAAAAACTAATATAGCTTAAAAAACCAAAGCTGAACAGAAGTATTTTGTACTATATTCTTTAAAGTAATATATCACCGAGTCAATAAGCTCCCCCAGCATTCCCTGATGGAAATTTTCTGCAAGAATTTTTCTAGATCAGAGGCAGAAATAGGTTGTATCAAATGGTCATATAAAATTCAGGTATCTAAATAGGCATTTACCTTCACTTTGGGTTTAGGGGCCAGAATCACCTTCTTCTTTGCCCTAAAACAGTGGAGATACATGCACATCAGAAGACAAAAAGAGCCATTTTAGTTTTAAATGCTACCCTGATTATATCCCAATGAACTAGAAGGATGACTACTAAAACAGCCTTGAAAGAAAAAATGGATTAAAATATGGAGGGGAAAGAGGAAAAAAAGCACCATTTCAATAATTTTTTTGGCCATGTATCTCTATGCAAATTAGTCACAATATCAACTGAATTGCTGATGTAACTTGACATATATATGAGCATAGCTACTTTCATTTTTAATGATTTAGAAGAACTTTAAAACATCAACTAACTTCAGCCTCTTAGAATATTAAGTCTGTCTACTTATCAGAGCTTTGTCTACACTGAAGTAATCTAGAATAGTAATATAATTTCACTACATGTTGATGTTTTTGTCCCTCAGGAGGATACTTCCTCTTCTCGTTTCTGTTTCAAACCAGGTGGAAACAGTGCTTTCCCCACCCCTCAAAAAAGTCATTTGTTGCTTATCAACTGTTAAACAGTTATATTTAACTTGTTTGCTGCAAGATGTCATTTAAAAAACCTCCAGGTTCTCTTGCAGTGTATGTGAACACCATAGCACCAACTGCAGTTATGCAAGCAAGGACAGCACTAAGGGTTATTAGTCATCAGCTTCAACTTAGAAGTTCAGCATTTCACACCTTCTCTCATTTCTATTTCTTCAAGAGGATCAACAGATTTACATTGTATGGGTCATTTCCCCCCCCCTTTTCCCAAGCAACCAGAAATATGCCTGGTTAAAAAAAGACCTTACTGTAGGTGGACCATGACTCAGTTTTGCTATTATATAGGAAAACATCCTATGTTAATCATATTTACCACAAAGGTTGCTATTTGGGTGATATTTGAAGTCTTAACTGTTTATTTGGACTCTGGCTGAATGTGGACAGCTGCTAAGAAGCACACAAGTGCTGTCTGAAAATCAAGAAGGTAAAATACCACTAAGACACACAACCTGCTGCAATTACAGAGGGATTGATGAGGAAAAGAAAAAAAAACCAAGCAGGAAGTACTGCAGACTAGGTGCAATTTAATAGGCTGCACATCAAAGTTTAGGTAAGGTGTAGTGCTTTGAAATACTTCCAGTAAAAGACATTAATCCAGGAATTAACATCCCCAAAGTTATCGAGCCACTCCATAACCGAGTTAAAATATAATGCCACAAGAACATTACAGTTACATGTCTAAAAGTATTAAAAAGTCATAAACAGTGTAAGTATCTTCAAACATATCCCAAAATACCTCCCTTTCCTCCCCTCTGCCCAAAAAAATATAGCATGACCTGAAGACCTTGGTAAGTAGTCAGTACTATACTCACGGAGCAGAGGTGAGGTGATTGTGAACACTTCGGCTTTCTTTAAAAAGCATCCTAAAAGAGTGGTGAGAAAAGAAACATGAGGTGATTCTACACTGACAAACAGCCTATGATCACCAAATAGACAACTATCCTTTGATTTTCAGAACGATCTTTGGATTCTGTGTTGCCAAAGCAGCTAGTAGGCAGTTTGTCTGTACTGCTGTCATGATGCAGCTCCAGGCAGACATACAGAAGAATGTCAAAAAAATCATAGTAATTTAAGTTTACATTCAAAATACCTCAGTAAATGGCCAAGCAGAAGTCAACATAACAGTATTATCTCCTTCTGCTGGACAGACGAAATACATTTTGAATTCCCCTCAAAGGCTAATTTCAAATATCACATTAAGGAATACACTACATGTTTAACACATTGACCATAGGTTTGGGTTTGTAGTTATTAATCTGCTGTTGGTTTTTTTAAAGCAGAGAGGGGAAAGAAGTCAGAATACAATAGCCAAGCTTATTTCTCATTTTCTTCAGTACTTCCTATAGGCTGTTGTGCACCATAGATGTGACTTGAATTACACTGGACTTACACATGCATTTTACTACAGAGCCAAGGAATGTCAGGAGCCAGTATGACAAATGTCAATACTCTACATTCTTTTATTTCAGTGTTATCAGCTCCTAAGCTGACAAATGGGAAGTGAAAATGATTTCTGAGCTGCACCTATATAGGAACTTGCTATCCAAATATAGCTACAAACAGACAATTAATGAAAACTCGATTGATACCCCTTCCCTGTTTCCAGGCAGGCAAACTAGAACAGACAAGACTTGCTTAACACCACTGCCTTCACACTAACATTGACCACATCATGAACAGCTATCTAAACAAGAGCTTTTCACCACTGATAACACCACCTGTGGGGCTGCAATAACTATGAGAAGTCCAAGTATCCACAGATCATCTTGTAAGAAAACATTGACATCCTCTCGCTACAGTTCCATGTCTTATTTATCATATTCCACTTCCAGCTCCATTGTCACACTTGCTTCACCATACCGGCCTCCAAATCTGTATTTCATTTCCCCCTGCCAGAGATTACTGAATGCCTATGAAGAATATAATGGAGCAAAAGGAACATTCCTCATTGCGAGTTCTATGTGCCACTTTGACCTAGACAGCTTCTCCAGGGTACTTCTCTCCCCACCTTCTCGGTGCTTCGTCCATTCCTTAATCTTTTTCATTTGGAAATGAAAATTCAAAATTAACCACAAGCCCCAGTAATTTGTAGTAGCATCCCTAAAAGTTAAAGATGAAAGTGTAAGTACTACAAGAAGAGAAATCAAAGATACAGTACAAAGAAAGGACAGTGCAATATATAGAATCACAGAATTGTAGGGGTTGGAATGGACCTTGCAGATCATCTAGTCCCCACCCTCTGCCATGGGCAGAGACACCTCACTAGATCAGGATGCTCAAGGTTTCATCCAGTCTGGCCTTGAACACCACCCGGCTCAGGGCAGTCACCACATCCCTGGGCAACCTGTGCCAGTGTCTCACCACCCTCACAGGGAAAAAACCTTTTTTCTCACATCCAATCTAAACTCCCTCCTTTGGTTTGAACCCATTACCCCTTGTCCTATCATTGCAGTTCCTAACAAAGAGTCCCTCTCCAGCTCCTTGTAGGCCCTTCAGACATTGAAAAATTGCTATGAGGTCTCCATGCAGTCTCCTCTTTTCCAGGCTGAAGAGCCCCAAGTTCCTCAGCCTGTCTTCATAGGGGAGATGCTCCACTCCACTTATAAACTTCATGGCCCTTCTCTGGACTTGTTCCAACAGTTCCATGTCCTTCTTATGTTGAGGACACCAGAATTGCACACAGTATTCCAGGTGGGTCTGACGAGAGCAGAGTACAGGGGGAGAATCACCTCTTTTGACCTGCTGGCCACACTCCTTTGGATGCAGCCCAGGATTCGATTGGCTCTCTGGGCTGCGAGCGCACACTATGCTTCAAATGTATGTGAAATAGGTTTCAAAGCAAGAACATGCTTGAAAAATAATCCCTCCATTGCATACATGTACTTAAATGTAAAACTTGATGAGAGAGATCAGTATGAGATTGTTTCTCTCTGATCATGGTTTCAAGTCAAACATGCTGTTTGACCTGCAAGACTACCTGCATGGCCACTGGCAAAGATTAAATTCTTGGAATTAAAGACCTTCTGTTCCTTACATTTGTTTTTTTTGAAGACATATATTTGAGTTGCAGATTTTTTTCAGACATGCACAGAACCTACATGCAATCTAGTTTAAAAAAAGTGGGTTAAATTATTTGAAAAGGCTTTGAGATCCTTTAGGATAAACAAGTATTTCTCTAACTTCATGGATATTAATAAAACAATCTCCTGAAAGAGTTACGCACATAGAAAATTAATGTGACAAAGGCAATTGTGGACAAATGGACAATATTCCATGGACACAGGAATGAGGTGCAATTTTAAGTTATATGATACTTTACCTCATGCTTCTTTACTCAGGTATGAGAAACATTACAACCAGCTAACTTTTGAAGAACAAGTAATTTTTCCTGTGGCTGAACCCACAAAAGTTCTGGTACCATAGACCTACTCTGATTCGTAAGAATTCCTTATGAAATACATAGTCAGTAGATCAGTTTTAGCATTAAATGTGGGTTTTTTTCCCAGTTTACACAGCACCTTTTCACTTGAGGCCACACATAAATGTGAAAAAATTATAAGCTTTCAGCATGATAATCCCCGCCCTAACATCCCAACAACATGAGCATCCAGAACGTGAATAATGTGCTGTACACACTAGGAGTGACCACTGTAGGATCCAGGAAATACTTTT